AACTCGGGAGCTGGAGCAGTCCATTCACCCTGAAATTCCTCCTTGGTCACAGCCTTTTCAGCCGTGGCCTGCTCTTCCTTTTCAGTCTCCTCAGGATCTCTGTAGATCAGGCATGACCTCCCATGGGTGGTCACGGGAGATGGTGTCACGCATGCGCAGTACTTCCCGGGCCCACATCAGGCCCCCTGAGCCCCCTTGTTGTTGCAAAGTCCACGTAGCACAGGGGAGAGTCTGTGTTACACAGAGCAGTGGTCGGCAGGTTAACATAAGCTGCCTCTGTGAGAGGCTGATGCCCAGCCCTGGGATCAGTAACCACCAGAAGCCTCTGCTCCCGGGAGGCTGGTAGATCTGGTTGGTGAAGGTTCCAGGAGTGAACTGGCCAGCAATAGGAGGGGCTCCCGGGGCAGCAGCAAACTTCAGCACAGCTCGCTGGCCTGTTCCCATACGATATGACACTGACATAAGCAGGGTTTTCGATGGCAACAATGGCACGAGCTGCCAGCAGGAGCTTCTCCCAGGTTCTCTTCAGATTTATGATGCAGATGCCATCGCTTTTCCTTTTATAGATGTATGGTTCCATGTGGAAGTCAAGGTTGGTGCCACCTAAGTGGGTTCCTGCCGCAAGGAATTTGAGGACATCCTCCTCCTTCATTTGCAGGGCATCCAGGGCTCCAGACACTGCGAAAGGTTCCCTTTAAGTTATGTGGGAATGAGAACAACGACGTAGGGGACCCTCTTTGGGTAGCGCAGAAAGGAGCCTCACATCTCACGTTCCTTCGCCTTTCCAATGAAAACTTTCAAACCTGGATCAATCTGATCTACCAATTTTTGGTATCACAGAAAATTATGCTTACCTGCTTCAGCCCAGTCCCCAGTGCTGTAGTTACACTGACTTCCTTTTCTGTTCTGAAGATAGCCCTTTCTCAACCTTCGCCATGCTCCACATCCCCCGCCCCCCTTAACAAGGCCTTGGCTGATTTTGAGAGAGTGGTCCACTCAAGTGGATTTTGAAGTCTTGGGTCCAGAGGTTATAACTGTTTAGGGTACACACCCACAGTTGGGATATATTAGGGAGCAAAATCAGAAAAAAACAGAGAAGTTAACAGAGAGGTAGAAGAAGCAAGAGAAAAGAGTGTTAAAAAAAAGTTAATGAAGGAGAGGATTTCTAGAATAAAAAGTGTTAACTATAGCAAATGAACCTTTAAAAGTTTGAGGACAAAGAAGAGACCATTAGATTTGGTAAGTCATTTACAACAAGTTTCTGTGGAGTGGTAAGAAATAGCAACTATAGTAAAATAATTGTGGACACAAGAGGATAATAAAAATACAATGGCAAGGAGTCCAGGCTACATATCCAAAGAAGTTAGGTTATTATTATTTTTTTTAAAGGGCATTGTATGGCAATCAGAAGGGATGGAAGGGTCAAATGAGGACTTACTGGATTTTTTCAAGATGAGAGATTTGAGGACATAATGGAAAAAGAGCTATTGCAGAAGTTTTAGAGGAATGATAAAATCTAACCAAATGAGGACTTACTAATTTTCTTCAAGATGGGAGATCTGAGTACATAATGAAAAAAGAGCTATTGCAGAAGTTTTAGCGGAATGATGAAAATCTAACCGAGTCAAACTGGCTAACAACATGGAAGAGGAAAATGGTTCCACCTATATTAGCAACCCCCACTATGTGCCTCCATTACATCCTTAATTCTCCCAACAGCTTTAAGTTGTTAAGCCCCAACTGAACTATAAACTCTGGGAAGGCAGGGACTGTACCTGCCCTGTGCACTGTATTATCTCCAGTGCCCAAAATAGTGGGCTAGCACTTAGTAGGCACTTAATAAATACTGGGTGGATGAATAAATGGTTAACAATGATACCTGGCCTCGGTTCTATCTGGCTTGATGCTCATAATGTCTATCAATTTAGATAAGTAATAACTCTTCAAAATACTACCAGGCAGAATATTTTCCCAGAAAAAGCTGCATGATTTTAAACCAAGTGGTGCACAAATGAATTGAGTATGGCAAGTTGCCAAATTGATACTCAGATGCATGCACCTCAAGTAGTTTAATGGTATTTTCAACTTAAATGGTAGTTAGACTCAAAAATATACATATCAGGCCTGGAAGTGATTTCAGAGGCTATCTAACCTAATCCTCCTACCCCTTAACTGAATGCTTAAACATATTTTCCATTAGTCCTAACATTAAGTGACCATTTAGAATTCACTCGAATACTCCAGTGACAGAAAACTTATAAAAATGCCACTCCATTTTTGGATTGCTCTAGTCATTAGAAGATTCTTACTTGTGATGCATGCATAGCTTTTAACTATTGTATTGGTCCTGGAGGTTAATGTAACTACAGTACACAGTCTTTCCAATGATCTGAGGAAGGCCTCTCCTAAGGCTTCTCCTCTCCTTGCCTAAAAAGTATAAAACTAAGGCAACATATATAGTCACATGGGAACAAAAAGAGCAAAATAGAGACCTATTTGTATCCTTTTCCATCTGATTATGTCTGACTCTTAATTCTATCTTAATTGTGCAGCATCCTTACCTTAATCCAGTGGTCCACACTGTCAGGGTCAAAAGCAGGCTGTAGATAATATATTCAGATATTAATACAAAGCAATGTCATTATCAACTTAGCCATTTTAATCTTTCCTTCTGACTAAAGAACATGAAAGTGTCCTTTATTCTTTCCCCAAATCATTTCATTAGAAACTTCAGCAACAAAAGAATACAGAACAATGATAGGAGAAAGAAACATGGAGCCTTCTCTGGGATATCTTCTGAATGTGTTTATCTCCTGCCTAGGCCTATAAGGTTCTGATTTAATTGGTCTGGGGTAGGACCCAGGCATGAATGTTTTTTCAGGCTCTCCTGGGTTAAGAACCAAAATAGAAGAATGCTAGGTATAAAAACCCAAACAAGTACTGACTAGCCAGATTTATTTAAGTGTCACAGAAGCAAATCTGCTTCGAGAAGGGTATACCCTTCTCCTTAGGCCCCCCTTTTTTAGGAGTAGCCTGTAGCAAGAGGCTTTCCTATCTTACAGTAGTGATATTGGTCCAGTAAGAACTACGGGGTGCAATGAGAGATAATCAATCGTCTACTGTTTTACAGAGCAGAAAATGAAGTAGAAATCACATAAATTTCTACCGAGGTCATTCACATATTAATCTTTATTCTCTATAATATTCAAAAGCTTACAAAATTCCCCCCCAATAGTCATTTAATGAATAGAGGTATTTGTTTTGCTAATAATTCAGGTGGGTTTTTAAATAAATAAGGAAATATTTAAGCATGGAGGAGGAAAAAGTATAATACTCTTTCACTTACATAACACTTCACCTTCAAAGCACCTTACAAAGAACTAATTAATGCTGCTGTACTGCTGAATAATTTTGTTACTGCAACAAAGAAAGCTGATCCTATTAAAGCACAACTGAACTTTGAGGAGCTCTTGTGTTTTTACCTTTTCATCCTCTAGGCAGTAACAGTGAGCACTGGCAGCAAAAATCCTTCCTTTGGAGTCCTATGAAATTGTCCCAAATTTTTACCTTTCATCAAGTCTATATCCACGATCTATTTGGGATCCAATGGAACTGGTATATTACAATAGAAGCAGACTGTTTCCAACTCTAATGGCCCCACCTGCACCCTCCAGTATCTGGGGCAAGATGCTCACCAAGTGGAACATATCCAGTGTGTTATTTAGCTGGTATATTTGGAATAACTTGCAAACACAACTGCCTAGGACCCTCAAAAAGGCCACATGTCTATAGATTGTATTTTTAAGAAAGTGTAACTTAAGGGTAAAAACAGCTGGTGAAACTGCTCTGGAGCTAAAATCTGAGAAGCCAGCTCCATTTTGGTACTCACCTACTTTTAAAGCATTTCTTTTTTGTGATTGAAAGAGTCTGTGGAAAGCACACATCGTGTGACTGATTTTGCACGTCATTTACATAGGCTTCCAGTTTAAATTGGGGCTATTGGTTTTCCATGGATTGTTAATGCATCCAAGGAGGGAACAAATATAAAGAGGGTCTATTTTTTAGATGATGATTGAATTTAGAAATCTAGAATCAAGTATTGATCCATTCAATATCCACTTGCATTTCTGAGTTCATTTTAGATATTTTGGGTAAAACTAGAGGGATAGGAATGTGAGGCTGAGATTTCCCCCTTACAATAAAGATCTGTTCCCTATGATTTGCAAAATATAAAAATAAATGTGCGGGAACTTCTCTAAACTTGTGGGGGTGGTAGTAAGCAGGAGGCGAAAGAGTTCTTGAATTCTCCAACTGAATGGGCCCTACCACACATCCCCGGTTTGTAAAAAGCATTAGATGGACACAATTCTTCCACGATGCTTCCCACCAAAGCCATAAGGTACCCAGACCCCAGAGTTCCTAGGCCCCTTCACTGGGACAATGCTGGCTCCAGGACGGTAAAGGCAGGGGCGGACCGGGTAAGGAAGCGCTTGGTGGAAGAGGGAGAAAGCACTGGCGGGGACACGGCTGGCCTCGGGGCCGGTCCCCGCCCCCCATAACTCCCGACTGGGATGGATCACCTCGGGACTCAGCTTCCTTGTAATTTGTTTCCAGCGATTCCGCCCCGTCCTCTTCCTTGAAGAGGACCCTTCTTGGGGCGCCAGCAGCATTTTCCAGGTTCAGGCCCGGACCTTGGACGAAGCTGAAACAACCGCTCCTCGGCCCAGTCCGCCGCCGGATCTTCCTGGGAATTGTAGTTCCTCCGCCCGCAAGCAAGGTACGTCTGGGGCGCCGACGAACCACCACTCCCAGGAGGCTCTGCGCAGGCGGAACGCGTTAGCCCAGTTACCCCTAGCAACCGCAGCGGTCCCTGGTCCTCCCTTTCACCAGAGTTCGCTTTGAGATTGCCTTTGCCTTTTACTGGCGCCTGGTGATTACGAAACGCTCCCTGATTGGCCCTGCATCCGAGGCGGTGGTTTAGGAGGCCGAGAAGTCGTCAACCAGACACGTGGGAGCGCACTGGGGGTATTTGAAAGGTCTCAAGACCAAGAAGGTAGGGAGGTGTGTAGGTGAGTGCCCCTCTCCCTGATGGTGTGGGGACTACCACGGGTGGATGAGTTGCGTCGCTTCCAGACTCTTGTTGTGTTGTACTCCCACCATGTTTCCCCTTTCCTTTTCTGGGTCCCCCGGTGACTTCCGTAAGTCCAGATGCTCCCGAACTCTAAACCGTGTGATCTTTCACCGCAAATCTGAGTGAAAGGGGCCTCCTTTCGACCGGCCTTTGCGTAAGGGACACGTTGTCTGTCAGCCGGCAGGTTTTTGCCGGACTGTCCAGAATACTCGAGAGGATTGGGACGATCCCGAATTCCTGAGCCAAGCTGTTCGCGGGGTCTGGAGATAGCTCGTGGAGTGACGATAAATCCGTCCCTGTTGACCGGGCGTAGATTTTCCTTGGGCAGTCCGTTCTGGAACACAGGGGTTCCAAAAGGCAGGGTAGATACGCAGAGTGGGAGCTGTGGACCCAGCTACTCTGTGGCTGTGACCTCAGGCAACCTGTTTAATAACTCTCTGACCCGGCAAAATGGGGGCGAGAGTACCTACATCACTGGAGTGTGGTAACGATTTAAAAATCAATGTATGTATAGAACTTTGCCAGGAAACGTAAACTAAAGTAGACCTGAGATCGGTGAAAATGAGATCAGGAAAGTCGTGCCCTTAGACTTTTGCAGCGATCTTACGACCCGCTCTTTGTCTTCAGTGCCCATCAGAAATGGTTGATTAAATTGTGTTACATCTGCTCTGGCCAGATAGCTCAGTTGGTTAGAGCATTGATCTGATAGGCCAAGGTTGCAAATTTGATACCCGATCATGGCACATACAAGAATTAACCAATGAATGCATAAATAAGTGGAACAACAAATCCATCTCTCTCTCTCCTTTCCTTTCTTTAAAATCAATCAATAAAAAGAAAGTTTTAAAAAAGTACATCTATTTTAAAAAACTGTGTTACTTCCAAACTGCAATGTCATGAAGTAGTTATTATTTTTTTTTTTTAATCCTCACCCGAGGACATTTTTTCCATTCTTTGCACAGATAGAGTGGGAGGGAGAGAGAGGAAGAGAGAGAGAGAGAGAAACATCGATGTGAAAGGGACACATCGAGTGGCTGCCACCCGCACGACCAACCAGGGCCGGGGACAAACTGCAACCGAGGTATGTGCCCTTAGCGGGAACCGAACCCGGGTCTCACCGGACCGCAGGCCAACGCTCTAACCGCTGAGCCAAACTGGCCAGGGCTGAAGTAGTTATTTTAAAAGAGTAAGTTAGCTCTGTGTTTCTTCTTGAGGAAAGATATCCATTGTGTATTCCTGGGAGAAGTGCTTACAGTATATTGCCCCCACACACACTTTTTTAAATTAAAAAAACACCCATTCTCATATACAATTATGTTTAAATGTTTGTATGAGAATGGAGAAAGTTTGTAGAGGCTGCGAAAATGGATGGAGGCAAAGAAGGGCGAAAAGGTAAAAGAAGAACAACAATAATAAGAACATTATAGCAAAATAGAATATACGACTATAAAATTATATCCTAACTTTAGAGTTCATATGTAAACATTGGATATGTTTATTGACAGGATTCAGGACTTCTAATAGGCTACCAGCCTATGAGAGTACAGCCTCTAAAACCAGACTTCTATGATTTAAGTCCTGGCTCTGCCACTTCCCAAATGATGACTTTATTAGCCTCAGTTTCCTCATCTGTAAAATGCTCATAATAATAGCATCTGTCTTATGCGGTAAATATGATAATACACATTAATGGAGTTAATACATAAAGAACAGTGCTTGATACTTAGTAAATGCCCAATAAATGATAGTTGCTACTATTGTAATTATGTCTTTATTTATTTATTTTTTTTATCCTCACCCGAGGACATTTTTTTTTTGTTCAGATAGAGCGGGAGGGAGAGAGAGGAAGAGAGAGAGAGAGAAACATCGACGCGAAGGGACACATCGAGTGGCTGCCACCCGCACGACCAACCAGGGCCGGGGACAAACTGCAACCGAGGTATGTGCCCTTAGCAGGAACCGAACCCGGGTCTCTCTGTACCGCAGGCCGACACTCTAACCACTGAGCCAAACTGGCCAGGGCGTAATTATGTCTTTAAATAGGTGAAAATAACTTGTTAAATTTTATTGTGATTACTAACATATTCGGACTTTGGTCTACAATCTTATTTCCTATTTTCTGTTTTTGGTGTACTTTTTGGTCTCTTCTTTCTTGCCCTTTATTGTATTAACCAACTTTTCTTTATCCACTTGTGCCCGTCCCCAATGGGTTTGGAAATTAGGCGTTTGGTCACATTTGGTCATTAGTTTTGTAATGGTTACTTGATGAAATTTTTTTTTTTTATCCTCACCGGAGGACATTTTTCCATTTTTTGTTCAGGTAGAGTGGGAGGGAGAGAGAGAGGAAGAGAGAGAGAGAGGAAAACATCGACGTGAAAGGGACACATAGAGTGGCTGCCACCTGCACAACCAACCAGGGCCGGGGACAAACTGTAACTAAGGTACACACCCTTATCGGGAACCAAACCGGGTCTCTCTGGACCACAGGCCGACTTTCTTTTTTTTTTTTTTTCTTTTTAATCCTCATCCGAGGACATTTTTCCATTTTTTGTACAGATAGAGTGAGAGGGAGAGAGAGGAAGAGAGAGAGAGGGAAACATCGATGTGAAAGGGACACATCGAGTGGCTGCCACCCACACGACCAACCAGGGCCGGGGACAAACTGCAACCGAGGTGCGTGCCCTTAGCGGGAACCGAACCCGGGTCTCTCAGGACCGCAGGCGGATGCTCTAACCGCTGAGCCAAACCGGCCAGGGCCACAGGCCGACTTTCTAACCGCTGAGCCAATCCGGCCAGGGCTACTTGATGAAATTTTAAAATACATACTTAAAGTTGAACATTATTCATTATCTCTCTCCACCCATAGTATAAGGATTTTAGAATAGTCTACTCTGAATAGTCTTATCTTCAGTTACTGTGTTCTAGAATATTCTCTGTATCTTCTGAGTTAGTTCAGTGCACCATATTGTTTAGGAGTCCTTTTGACTTTTTGTGTGCATATACTTGTAGAGTGTATATGGATTTAATTTTTTTTTTTTTTAATTTCAGAGAGAGGAAGGGAGAGGGAGAGAGATAGAAACATTGATGAGAGAGAACATTGATTGGCTGCCTCCTGCATGCCCCCCACTGAACCCTGACTGGGAATCGAACCAGCGACCTCTGGTGCATGGGTCGATGCTCAACCACTGGGCCACACTAGCCAGGCTGAATTTAATTTTAAAAATACAACTCATATGCATACATTTAAACTCTTTACCCAACTTAAATATGTCAGATGAGACCATTTTTGGAGTAAGGGGAGGAACCAGCAAATCCTTGTCTCTAGCCCTTTTCTGAAAAACTCCAGACCGTGTAGTTTCTTCCATTCTCATGTGTTTGTGAGGGTAAGAAATGCTTAACTTATTGCGGTATATAATAATCATGGTCCAATCAATTTTCATTAGTTCTTATTTGTGTTTCAAAACTTACTGTTGTATATTTGGTTAATTTCAATATTCAGTCACAATAACAGGCATTGAGTCATTAACTTTAAAGTGCGTTTCTCATGTTTTTGCTTTCCCCTGATTCAATTCCTCAGAACTTACTTAGATTGCAAAATGCAGTTTTTAACTTTGCTACAAATGGCTTCAGAGTTTTCTTAGTTTAAAATATATTTTTATCACTTGAAATCAGACGGTTATGTGTCTTAACTGATAAATCAATAAGGAATATGATTGTGTAAACTAATGACTTCTCATATTTTCTAGAGTATGTTCTTATTATAATTAATATAAATCACATAAAAGTAATTTATATTTATATACTTTTTTGGATAGAAACTTTATTCTTTTAACAGTTTGAATGTGTAATAACAGGGCTTTTAAAAAATAGCTTTTATGTTACTCTTTGTTAAAACAACATTTTTAGGTTAATAGTCTCCATTTCTGTGGGTTTCATTGATACTTAATTTTATGTCTATCTTTGTGATAATTTGAAATAATGAAGTTAGAGTTATAGAAAATTGACCAGGCTTTCCTCACTTATATTATTTTTTTTATAATTCATATTTAGCATGAAATCTTTTATTGGACCATGCAGAAAGTAGTTATTCTTATTTCTAAAATTCTAGACTGTATTGACTATTTTATTTCAGTGTAAGAATTTATGACTCCCAAAAAAGTAATAATTACATTCCTGAATATTGTTTAACTAATGATAGATAATGCTTATTTGTTTGGTAACATCTTAAGCAGTTGTTGATCTTCAGAAGTGGAGCTGAGAACTTGCTTCATTAAATAATAATTAATTAACAGCATCCCAAAAAGTAATTGATAATTTTTTCTGTTTTTTTCCACCCTGTGTATCTATGGAAGTTAGGAAGTATATCTTAATTTTTTTCTTTCATCACATATTTTTCTTTCCCATTTATAAAAATAATGCTAAATTGCTTATGAGTTACATGTATGCTCCACACAATTTCTCACCTCTCTTTGGGCACCAGGTAAGAACAAATTGGAAAATACCTTTCAGGCATAATCTCTGTTTATGTTTTGTTGTATATTTCATACACCAGAATGCTGTTTTGAAACCTGTTTTTTTCTTTTAACTACATATTAGACAAAATTGCTATGTTGCCCAGTATTCTCTCAAATTAGATAAAAATAGATCAAATTAATAACCAGTATTTCCTAAATGTTTGACTTTTCTCCACATTTGCAAGGCTGAGAGCGAGCCTTGGCTTTATAGCATTCTTTCCATGATTAGTCTTCACTTCCGTCCTTCTATTTGTTTGGATTTCATCAGGTCAGATAAAAATTCTATGAATGAATTTAAATGTGGTTGATGTTATCATATTGCTCTGGGACTTGGGGAAGGTATCTTATTCTCTCTGTGACTTTCCCATTCTCCAATTCCTTATATCTAAAAAACAAACAAACGGAAAAAAAAACCCTAGACTGGAAGTAGTGATAAACATGCTCTAATTAATTTTTTTGTAGGTTGCTGTCTTTGTAAAATGTTTAGCCTTTAGATGTCATAAAACTTCTTCTGAATTTGATGCTCTTTTCTTACCAGATCTGGAGAAATCCTTCAGGATGAAGCTGAGTCTTACCAAAGTAGTTAATGGCTGTCGCCTAGGAAAAATAAAAAACCTAGGCAAAACAGGGGACCGCACCATGGACATTCCAAGCTGCCTTCTGTACACCAAGACTGGCTCTGCTCCTCACCTGACCCATCATACACTGCATAATATCCATGGGGTTCCTGCCATGGCTCAGCTTACACTGTCATCACTGTGAGTATTAGACCCAACCATTCAAGTTTCAGCTTTGGCAACAGCTTAGTTACCTTAATAAGATACAGTAAAGCAAAATACTTTTTTGCTTATATATATAAAATTTGTGGATTTTTAGAATGAAATCAGAAGAAATATATCAAATATTATATATCATTTGTCCCTAATCTGGAAGCCACAGCCAGACCTCCATGTTAAAACTGCTTCACTTTTCCTCTGAATCCAAGATCCCATACGGCCCTCATTGCCTCTGCTCCCAGGGGTAAAGGGCAGGAATGCTCTAGAAGCCTAGGGACTGCCTTCATGCACCAGCCTCAAACATTTCTCTGTCTCTGCACGTGTACTTGCATATACTACTTATGGAATCAGAACTAATGAATAATGTGCTTATTGACTTTATGATTAATTGGACAATCTGCTATAGGATGAAATGACCTTAGTATTGTGTTAATAATAAACTGATTTTGAAAAGGCAAGGAGAGGAAGAAAATCCAGATATTCAGGAATAATTGAACTAGGATAGTTTCTCTTCTCACAGAATCACTTGCAAATTGAAAACCTTTTCTTTGGCTAATGCACCTAGCCTGGTGAGTTGGGACTCTTGAGTAATGGTGTATTTGTTGTTCAAGACTACATTTACTGTCATGTAGCATGTTTGGGTGAGAAGAGGGCTTCAGTTGTTATTAGAGTGCCTGTGGAATGATTCATTATTATGTTATTACTTTTCTGTTTCACTTACAGGGCAGAACATCATGAAGTCTTGACAGAATATAAGGAAGGAATTGGGAAGTTTATAGGTAAAATTAATTAAGTTATTTGTGTGTGCCTTGTGATATATTAATTTGGAGTTTAAAGGTGCTGTTTATTTGATCTTTCACTCATACATTTATTAATTTAATAAGCATTTGTTGAGCATCTAAGAATCAGGTATTAGGGATTCAAAGATGAATAGGAACCAAATGTGGCTCTCATGGAATCCGGAGCCTAGTTGGGATAAAGATAAACAGGTAATTCCAGTAGAGTGTGGTGACTATATTTGCAGGATTAGGGATATGTACATGTATCATGAGAGCCAGAAAGAGAAGCACATAACCTGTAGGGTACATGTGGAAGGAGGTCAGAATAAAGAAAGAATTCTTGAGAGAGAAGATGAGGGGGCACCTTAGCTGGGTCAAAGAAGAGTAGGAGTTAGCCAGGTCAGGAGATGGTGGTAGTAGACAGGTGTGGGCAGACATTCCAGGCATAGAGCAAAAACCTAGAGGGTCTTTGAGACACTGCATGGGACATCCCTAAGATCCAAAGTAGACTTGCCATGTTTGTGCCTAAAACAAGGCAGAGGACAAGGAGTTTATATACTGCTATATTCTAATATGTTAATGTTGTCTCTTGTTCCAAAATAGGATTATAAATGCAGTATGTGTCCACTTATTTATAGGAAAAGCTTAGCAGTGACAGCAGTGAACAGATTCTTTTGTAAACCACCTTCTCCTAAAGCTTTTTGCAATATCTGAGACACCTGAGTGAATGAAAACCCTGTTGCTATGGGTTATTCAGTGCTCTGCTTCTGAGGGCAACAGCATGATTACTTGATTGTCACAGGGCCCTATATTTCAGTAGAGGATTTTATGTAATACTGTTTTTCTTTATCTGAGACCAGTTTTAATAATCAGCTTTAAAGTATAAAAGTACATAATTAAGTGAAAATAGCTAATATAAGCTTTCTACAGAAAATTGTAGTAATTGAAATTGTAGAAAATAAAGTGGAGAACTGCAGAGATCTTTTTTTTAATTTGCTTCTTTTTTTTGGTTTGGTCTTTTTTTCAGTGAAATCCTAATTTTTTCTTATGCAAATGCAGGTAGCCTATGAAATTTAAGCACATATGGTTTGCTAAACACTTTTTTGGATTTTTTTTTTTTAAACATCTATCTTTTTACTAAAGAACCTAAGAAACTATCATCTCCAGTCAATGAAACTTACTGAAAATGAGACTCATTTGCACTATCATATAGCTTCCCTTTAATTCTGCCCCTAGGGACTCAATGATATGGGATGGCTTTATCATTAATGAGATTACTTTTTGATTAGATCATTTCATCTTTTCATGAGCTAGTTCCCTTTGCATAGTATGTAAAATGAACATACTTGATACTAAATCTTTTTTTTTTTTAATTTTTTTTCTTTATTGATTTTTAGAGAGAGAAGAAGGGAGAGGGAAAGAGAGATAGAAATATTGATGAGAGAGAACATCGATTGGCCGCCTCTTGCATGCCCCCCACTGGGGATTTGGCCCATAACCTGGGCATGTGCCCTGACCAGGAATGGAACCGGCAACCTCCTTCCTGGTGCATGGGTCGATACTCAACCACTGAGCCACACTGGTCAATACTAAATCTTCAAAGCAAATCAAGTAAGCAAATCAAGTTGGGTCAACATGTCATTAAACATTGTATCTCATACTTTAAGATATGCCTTCCCTTTGTAGCTACTCACTATGTCATTAGAAATGAACCTTTACAGTTAATTCTTTTAGTTTAACAGGTTTCAAAGTAATCTTTTCATTCATGTTGACAGGCCTCCTGTAATTTTAAGATAAAATATGAGCAATCTACTGTGCTGGGTGTTGTTTTATCCAGCAGTACATACCATGAAGCTGCTCTCTATTATGATGCTATGTAATTGTTAATGGAAGTGCTTTCAAGGGTTCTTTTTTTATATTTATACAGGCATGCCAGAATCACTCTTGTACTGTTCCCTGCACGATCCAGTCAGCCCCTGCCCAGCTGGTTATGTGACAAACAAGGTGTGTTCTCAGAAGTTCCTCTAAGGCTGCAACTTTGTCCCAGGAAGTCAGTCTTTTGTGTCCCTCAAATACTAGGATCCTACTGCCTGGGGTGTTGGCCCATTCCTGACCTCTATTTTCTTTGTCTTTATTTCTATGAATATAGTGGGATGGGGTAGTTTATAGGAGTTAAAGGAGGTCTGCCTGAGGATGGAGTTAAGGTAAGGAATGTATCCTCAGCTTTCTCATTGTTGCAAAACTTTTGGGCTGGAAAAAGGTGAAGTACATTCTAAAAAAAGAAATTGCTATGATGGTAGAAAACAGTAGTCTTTTGATGCCATGCTTTATTTGCAGTTTTAACAACCTCAGGAAGAGTGGGGAAAGTTGCTGATGAGTGTTATCACATGTATAACTATATATAGTAGAACCTCAATGTAATACTGCTTGTTTTTAGAAAAAAAGTGGAAAAGGCTGGGTCCACAGCCAGAGATTTTTATCTAGTGAAGAACAGTATCAAAAGGACTTCATTAAAAGTTTTTACCTGAGACATGACCCCATTGCATTGTCCTTGCGGACAGCATTTTGGCAAGGATTCAGTACAGGGTGGGCAAAGGAAGTGTATAGTTGTGAGTACACAAAACACAGAATTTATTCCTGTATATTTTTCCATATGAACAACTGCAAATCCCCTCTTGCCCACCCTTGTATATACCACTACTTTACAAATGCAGTTTTTTTCCTGCACTCACTTTATTGATGTCAACAATATCTATTCGTCTTTCCTAAAATTACTATTTTAAATTACTCTTCTGCTTTAAACTTTTTATTTTTTAATTTGTATTCAAAAGAAAATATTTTAATGTCAGTTATCTGGAGAGAGGATTAATTTAAACATTTATGCCAAAATAAAGACTGTATGTTGCCTCCCCATCCAGGTCTTTGCCAATTTCTTTTGGGATGAGAGGTTCTATAGGAGTAACCAAAGGAACAGAGATTCTTATGTGCTATGGGATTTATGTCTTAGCACATAATCTGTGTGTAACTCAACTTGGTAAATACTTAATCATGTGTGGGGCCCTAGTCTGTGCTTTTGGGGCACAGACATGAATTGGGATACCCTAGGCAGACAAAGTACAATAGTGTGTGAAGGGCTATCATTTTTTTTTTTTTTTTTAATCCTCACCTGAGGAGATTTTTGTATTTATCTTCAGATAGAGCAGGAGGGAGAGAGGTGGGAAGAGAGAGAGAGAGAGAGAAACATTGATGTAAGACAGGCACATCGATTGGTTGCCACCCACACGACCCCAACAATGGCCCGGGACATACTGCAAATGAGGTACATGCCCTTAGCGGGAACCAAACCCAGGTCTCTCTGGTCTGCGGGCTGACACTCTAACCACTGAGCCAAACTGGCCAGGGCAAAGGGCTATCATTTCTATAAAAGAAGTATGCACAAATTTCTGAGAGAATTTAGAATGGTGAGGAAATTGACAGGGAAAGTTTGGGGAACACATTAGAGCAGGTGATATTTGAACTCTGTGTCTTGAAGGGTACATAGTATTTTAGCAGGCAAAGAAGTAGGGGAAGGGTGTTTCAATCAAAAGGAACAATGTGATCAAAGACAAAAGAATCAGAGCCTTCAGTGTATTCGGGAACAGCATTGGTAGAGTGGGGTTGGGGAGATTGGAGGACTGGGCTTCTAGAAAAGTATAATAAAGAATTCCTGGGGGCAAGCTCGGAAGTTGGCTTGTATGGCCACTGAAGGATTCTCTCTGAGCTATGAGGTTCTTAGAGAATTTGGAGTAGGGTATAGGAAACGTCTTTTACTCACCATGTCTAGGACATTGAATTGCTACCATCTCTCTAGTTGTAAGGAAGAATTAAATTCAGAATTACTTTAGCATTCTATTTATATATATTTTTTTGCCTTTTATTCTTTGTGTGTGTGTGTGTGCCCTGACCAGGACTCAAACCTACAACCTTTTGGGGTATGGGATGGTGCTCTAACTGAGCCACTCAGCCAAGGCAAGCAGAGCACTTATGTTTTATTTATTTATTTTTTTTATCCTCACCCGAGGACATTTTTGCATTTATTTGCAGATAGAGCAGGAAGGAGAGAGGGAGGAAGGAAGAGAGAAACATCAATTTGAGAGAGATACATCAAGTGGTTGCCACCCACATGACCCCAACCGGGGCCGGGGACTAACTGCAACCGAGGTATGTGCCCTTAGCAGGAATCGAACCTGGGACTGTATGGTTCACAGGCCGATGCTCTAACTGCTGAGCCAAACCGGCCAGGGCTGCCTTTTACTCTTACTAATTTTCCATCATCTTGTTCCTTGGCAGTCTGTGTCTGTGTGGGGTGTAGGAGGACGAGTGGAAATGACTGCTTCCAAGTTCATGGCAATTCAGCAGGCCCTTCAGCCAGACTGGTTCCAGTGCCTCTCAGATGGAGAAGCATCTTGTGCAGAAGCAACTTCCATAAAAAGAGCCAGAAAATCTGTTGATCGATCGCTTCTGTTCCTGGATCACTGTCTCCGGCTATGGGAGGAGTCCGAGGTAAAGCTGTACATCTCACCACGCCTGTTTCTTTGAAACTCTCGCTAGTTGACATTCCATGATACTGCTTTTCCTGTTCTTCCTACTTCTCTGCTCCTCACTTCTTGGTCTCTTCTTTGCTCTTCCATTTTTTTCCCCCTGAACCATTATTATTGCTCTCTAGGATTCTGAGGTTCTCTTTACATTCCACTGTATAAGTTCTTACTAGGCAGGCTCCCCTTAGCTTTTTTATTTCTGAATAGTTCTAAAATTGTAGGTACAATCAAGATCACTCTGCTTAGCTTCAGAATTACATAACTACAGGGCTTTAGCTGTTCTACACTAGAATATCCCTCACGTGCACCTTAAACTCAGAAGAAACCAAACTCCATATCTTCTCTCTTCCTTTTGCGCTCCCTCAATACTCTGTCTCAGTTTTTGGCAGCCACCAAATTCCTTGGCCCAGAAATTTGAGTCTTTCAAGACTCCTTTTGATACTTGATTTAATCTCCAATGTTCACTCCTCTTTGATTCCATCTCCCTAAATATGTCTAGAATCTGCCCTCTCATTACCCTTATCACCTTTAAGGCATCATAACCTCAGCATCTCTTATGTAGACAATTACATTTTAATTGTTCTTTCTGCCTCTGTTCTTCTTTCCACCCAATCCATATTCAGCCCTGCTATCTGAGAGATCTTTGTAAAGCACAAATATGAACCCGTTGCCCACTTTCCTAAAAGAATTTGGTGTTTCTCCACTTCAGCACTTACGTGGCATGGACAGCCTGCAGAGACCTGGCCTCTGCCTGTTCCTGCACCCAGGGTGGCCTGCTTTCTCCTGTGGTTGGCACTCTGGCTCTTCTGAGTTACTCGCAGTTCCCTGAGGCATCATCCTGTTTCATGTCATTGTGCCTGTACGCAGACTTCCTTCTGGACTGTTTCTTCTTCTTCTCAGCCATATTTCTTCTCTTGCTTTCAGATCCAGCTCATTTAATCCCACTCTTCATTCTAGAAAACTGCCCCTGACCCTTCTAGGAAGTTCTTTTCATCCTTTGCCACCCCTTTCATTTGTATGTAGTTATATTATAGCCCCAATCATGCTGTACTGCAACGATCTATGTGTTTGTCTTTATTAAATGTTGATCTCTTTAAGCTCAATTTGTGTGTTAGTTTTGTGTCTTCATCATGTAGCAAAATACAGGACACATAGTAAGCCCTCAGTAAGTGCTTGCTGACTGAGAATGGTTAAAATGGGTGGGGAAGAAGCTGTAGCAATAAATAAGGGCTCCTGACAGCAGAGTTAATGACGTTGGAAAAGGATGCATTCACTAGGAGAAAGCAGAGGAGGCGGGAGCACAGAACAGTGATCAGAGAGGACCAGTGTCTGAGGACTTAGGTGGCGTCCTCCTGAGCAGTGATCAGATCTCACTATGACAGGCTCATTCATTTTGAGGAACATTGTTATTTTGAGTTACCAACAAAAATATAATTTGACTAATAAAGTTAATAGACATGAAATAATTAGAGGAAACTTACTGGTCATTCTGAATAGAGCTCTCAGTATCTGAAATAGGAGTTTAGCCTGGGACACTGCTGCGGGTCTGAATTGTTAGTGTTGCTCACCAGCCATTGTTTTGAGCCAGTAATTATCCTTGTAGAAAGAGTAATGTTTGATTAGTAGAAATGAAGACAGAGTATGACAGAACATGTTTATTAGAAAGGCCAGAAGGGCCTCAAGTCTTTCTTCTGTGTTACAGCTGCACCATTTCATACTATTTCTGTGTGTTGGTCAATGCTGAGGTTCCTCTCTGTACCCCTAATGTTTATGTTATTGTCTTGGTATGATTATTAACAGTGCCCCTTTTACTCTTTAATGCGTTCCATTTTAGACAATAAATTATGTATAATCCTACTTCTTACACCCTTGAAAAGGAGTTTCCCAAATAGGACTGTGTTAGTCCTATAAAGGGGCAAGCCTGTGTAACTGTCTGCATACAGCTTTTCCTCTCCTATGATTGCTTCCCCTCTTTTTCACCGGATCCTCTTATTCTGAATGCCCTTTGGTATTAAAGCTCCTCAGGGTTCTGTTGTTGGCTTGCACTGTGTGTGTGTGTGTGTGTGTGTGTGTGTGTGTGTGTGTGTGGTTGGCTTTCTTCATATATTTTCTAGGCCAGAGATGGAAAATGGGTTTCATCCCGAGGTGCTTGGAGCTGTGCCTGGCTGCATCAGGAAGAGGGTGGTCTGTTAGTCATGGAAGCAGGAGTAGGGAGTGGCAGCCTTGTACCAAGCATCTACCATTCTCGCCTGGGCACTTGCATTTGTGTCACACATGTCCATAACCTTAGGCCTGTACAGTCTATATACCTCAAACTCAGAGCACACAAAGCAGGATATTCATCTTACCTGAACCTCACTATTTTTTTAGGATTCCCTGTCTGCTCTTCTCAGCATCTCCCTGGACTCTGCTCTTCTCAGCATCTCCCTGGACTTCCAAAACAGGAGCCAGGATTCATCCTAGACTCTTCATCCTCTCCTTGCACAGCTACTCAGTTGTGTTCATTGTATGTCCTGATGAGGTTTCAAGTCCCACCTCCTTTTCACCCCACTGGCACGGCCTTAGTCCATGTCCTTTTTGTCTTTTACCTGGATTGTTACAGTTGTCTCCTACCCCATCCTTTAGTACTCCCTCTTAATTCACTCTCTACACAGTATCCAAAGTGTTCTTTCTGGAAGAATAGTCTGATTGTGCCCCTCCTGCTTCAACTAAGAAGTGAAATCCCCTCTTCACAGCCTGCCAGGCACCTGCCTCACCTTTCTGCTCTGCCAGAGAGCCACTGTTGATTTATGTATTTCCTTGCAAAGCTTATTTTTACAGTTACCTACACATAATTATTACATGTACCTATATGTGGTTTTTATAACACATGAATATGATCATCTGTTCAGAAATTTCCTTGTTTCTTGCCTAACAATATCTTGAATATCTTTTCCTGTGAGTATATTTATAGGAGAAATTTGTAGAAGTGGGATTTTAAGATATAAAGATGAAAACACTGACATTGTGGTAAGTGTTGTGTAAATGCCTTCATGAGGCTGAACTAATTTTTAGTCTCTAGTTATTGGGGGTATCTAAGTACACTGATCACTTTCACTTCCACTATGTTATCTTGAAGCTTTTTTGTCAGTGTGTTGGGCAAAATGGTATCTAGTTGTTTCCAATTTGCATTTTCTTCCTGTGAGGTTTAGTAAGCTCTCCGTATGTGTACAGGGCACTTACATTTCTTTCTCTTAAGTTCACATTCACATACCTGCCTAGATTTCTGTAGGGTTGTCATTACCTTAGAGGATTTTTGGAGCTTTTTCTATGGTGTAGATATTTACCTATTCCCTCAAAGAGTAAATTCTCCTTTGCCCTTGTTGATACTGTATTTCACTAGAGAAGTTTTAGTGTTTTTGTGCTCAAATATGTCAGCCTTTTTCTGTAAGCTTTAGGTTGTTTAGGAAGGCCATCCTTATACCAGGATTTTAAAAATATTCAATATATTCTTCTAATACTTTTATAACTATAATTTTTATGTTTAGATGTACTTTTAAGGATGGTATGCAGTAGTTTTTTTGTTTTTGTTTTTTTTCCCTCAAATGGATGGTCAGTTGTCCCAGCCAAATAGCTTCGAAGTTTCTAAAGTTGTCTCTACTAAGAGACTTGGTGGTGACCTCAAGCAGGCCTGGATAGTCAGTTAAACAAGTTAAACTGTTCCTTTGTCTTTTTCTTCTTGTATCTGCTCAGCATGCATTTAATATAAGCTAAGCATGGCTGCATTTGTTGATTGCCGCAGTTTCTCCTGTCTTTTCTTACCTGTATGAGTGGCTTTCAAGTTGTGCTCTTTGAAATCCTAAAAGCCCCCGGGGCAGAGGGAGCACCATTCCCCTGCATGCTTCAACAGCAGCAGCTTCACTGAGATCTCGTCTGTCCATTGGGCTTCTGTGTGAGGCTCATGTAAACAAACGGAAATTGTTAAAAACATTCAATCCGTTCTTAGGTCCTTCAGAAAAGTACCATCATTGGAGTGATTGAAGGTGGAGACGTGATGGAGGAGAGGCTGAGGTCAGCACGAGAGACGGCCAAGCGGCCTGTAGGTGGCTTCCTTCTGGATGGCTTTCAAGGGAACCCAACAACTCTGGACACTCGACTGGACTTGCTGTCATCAGTTACCGCAGAGCTGCCAGAAGACAAACCGAGGCTAGTGCTGCGTAATGTTGCTGGCCAAGCGTCATGGGCTGCAGAACAGGACGCCAGGGGTTGTGTGTTGTGCAATCTACGTGGACATGGCTTTTGATGTTTTATGTCCTTTCTGGGCTGAGTCTGCTGAGGCTGACCATAGGGAGTTCCCATCAAGGCTGTCCTGTGCTTTCAGAATGTAGGTCAGAGGACAGTTGCCATATGAATTAGTTTATTTGATGTTCATTCTAAGTGAGAGCAAGTGTCAGACTGTTTTCCCTCATTCTTGTGCCAAATACAGATACTCTTCTTGATTCATTATAACATGGTTTCTGGAGATAGGTATAAAGCCATGTGTAACTCTGGCCTTACTGAAGGAAAGTTGAGGACAGATGTGGGATGCCTCACAGAATGAAGATGGACACTACAAATAAGGACCTTTAAGAAGTTCATAGATTTGAGGCAGTATCATTTTTTGAAATTGAGGGGACCAGCAACACTAGTGGGGTTGGTTCTTTCAATAAATCACAGGTTTAACTGTGTGCTGATGAGAAGAGGCGATCTACAAGATTCAAAGCTAAAAGTCCAAGTTTCTAAGTGCAGCTGATGATTTATTAGACTTCCCCACATTTTTTTTAAAGACTTGTCTTTTTTCCCCCTTTGTGTGAATATTCATGCTCTTTCCTGCAGATATAGTGAGAGATCTGATTATGGTGTGTGCTGCTTTGTATCCCTCGGGCTGTTGGCTGGTATCTAATATATGTGATTTTACCGCTTTTCAAAAAATCCAGGTATAACTTGCAGTAAAGCATATGAATCTTATGTAGAGCTTGATGGCTTTTTACACACATACACGCCTGTGTAAACACCAGCCAGAATGACATCTTTTCATCACCCCAGGCAGCATTTGCCCCGATTTTAACCTCATTCTCTGTGTTCATTGCTCCCCCTCCCTAGTTTATTCTGGTACAGACAATTTAGTGCTAGTATTTCTAGTCATTTTCTGGACTTCTCTGAGTTAAGTGCTCACAGATGTCTGTTACTGGAGTTGAAAACTGGGATTATTTTTCTTTCGGTAAGTTGGAGAGGAGGTCTAAAACATTACGTTACTTGAGGGAAACTGTAGTCAGAAAAACCAGCGTATATTTAAGGTTCTGGTTGTTTAATATTACATAAGCCTTTCTTGGACTTCTTTTAGAAATCAGAGAGTCTGTAAGCTTTTCTCTGCCAGTTCATAAAAGGAACTCTGAGTAGAAAAACAAACATGAAAAACAGCAGCCAACCAGCCCTTATCTAGTGCATCTCCCCAAGTTGTTTTAGTGGCAAAACCTGGTTGAGTATTAATATTCTCAGAATGATTTGCCCATTACTCTAAAATTACCATCTCATTCCACCATGCAGACATTGTATTAATGCTGAAAATATGAAAAAACATAAATAAAGCAAACTAGATTCCTAGTTTCTATGGGCAGAGTTGAAATTCTGAGAGCAAGAGTTGCTTTGTAAATGAACCTATAAAGTAGGTTTTATCCAGTAGGTAAAAATGTCTTTCTGGAACCAATTGTGAAAATGAATTATGGGCAACATGCAGTTAAAACATGGAAGTATTTGAGGGGGAAATAAAGCACACAGCTTTGCATTCTTAAAAAGTCTATGTGGTGGTATAAAGTTCACTGTAGGACTAGGGTGGTTGTTCAGAACAGATGAGAGCAGAAAGAAAATTAACCTTTATTGAGTTTCTCTTTGGGGCCAGAAACTACACTATGTGCTTTTTCAAATATCTCATTAATTCTCACTGTGAGGTATGTATTAATGCTCTTATTTTTAAAATGAGAAAACTAAAACTCAGAGAGGTTAAGAAACTTTCCCAAAGAACACAGCAAGTAAATTAATAGCAGAACTGGGATCCCAGCCCAGCTTCCTCTGCCTCCAAAGCAAAGCTTCTTTCTACCACATCTTATTATTTGCTGCCTGCCACGCTAACCATGACTGATGGTTTTCATTATTATTTTAATGCCCTCTGGAAAGACTCTGATTCCTGGCATTGTCCTCATGTCACTGTTCTTATTTTCACAGGCTCATCTGTGGTGTTAGCCGGCCAGATGAGGTGCTTGAGTGTATTGAAAGAGGAGTGGACTTATTTGAGAGTTTTTTCCCTTATCAAGTGACCGAGCGGGGATGTGCCCTGACTTTCAGCTTTGATTTCCAGCCGGATCCTGAGGAGACATGTAGGTCTTTTGAAGTTAATCTCAGTGTTATCCTTAAGTTTCTTCTATTTCCTATCAATTTTTGGCTTGCGATTCAAGCCAGAAATATGTGCATACTATAAAGCCAGCCTTTTATAAAGCTCCATCTTTGTTTCTTATCTGTATGCTCTGGCATGTAGGTCCTCAAAACCCAGGTACTTAATACTATGCACATAACTCATCAATATTAGGAAGTAATTTTGTAATAAGCAGAAACAAAATACAAAACAAAACCTCTTCTATTAACAGCCTGAAAAAGACCATTCATAGTGAATAGTGATGAAAATCTAAGAAAATAAAACCTTTGAACTGGTTGGTAAAAGTTAATTCGTTTTTTCACAAAAGAGTTTTTGTCTGCTTTTTGCAAACCCTGTGCTATTAAAATACAGGGAGCCTCACCCCCTCTGATCCTAGTGCTACTTTTGCTTTTTGTCTTTGTCTGCACATGGAGATGTGAAAGCTGTTTTCCTCTGCTAATATTGCTTTGAAGCACTGCCATTCTCTTTTATTGTTTAGTTATTCAGAAGTCAAGAAAATCAGTTTCAGATCCTGACATTTAACTGGCAGTAGTAAAGGAATTGGGATACAGACTTTGGCCTGGGGTCCCTTGAAGCATTTCATCTACCCAGTTTTTCAGAAGGTCGTGGCATGCCCAGTGTTCCCTCTGGCCTTCAGAGGTGTGCATTCCTTTCCCTTCCTGCTGTCCTTTGAACTCTTGCTCTGTCACGGCCAACCTTACATTTGACTCTGACTAGAGACTTCCTTTAAAGCTTCATTTTATTCCCCATAAGTTATCAAAATTTTTTTTTTTTTTTTTTTAATCCTCACCGGAGGACATTTTTCCATTTTTTGTTCAGGTAGCGTGGGAGGGAGAGAGAGGAACAGAGAGAGAGAGAGAGAAACATCGACGTGAAAGGGACACATCGAGTGGCTGCCACCCGCACGACCAACCAGGGCCGGGGACAAACTACAACCGAGGTACATGCCCTTAGCGGGAACCGAACCCGGGTCTCTCCGGACCGCAGGCCGACGCTCTAACCGCTAGCCAAACCGGCCAGGGCAGTTATCAAAATTTAATTCAGAAGATGTTACACTTTTATAAAGCAACTTAAGCATTAATCTAAATAGAATTACTCTGGAAACAAAATAAATCAGATTGGTCAAATTCTTATATATATGGAAGTCAATTTTATTGTACTTTAGATAGACGAGAATGTAATGTATGTGGCTAGGTATACCATAAACACTATAAATGTTCATGGCTTTATTTACAAGTTTAATTATTTTCACCAGGACATAGGTAACTATTAGTCATTCTGTACCATGAATATGCACAACTCTGAAAAAGGACCTGATATTGAGTTCTCTGGAACAAGCAAGTTTTTTTTGGCCAGAGAAAGCTTTTCCTTTATGATTAGGAAAATTAAAATAGTTCGAACATTTTATTAACACATTATTTTTCACATTTGTGTATGTGTGTATAGTAATTTATAGTCCTTTGCCAGTTACAAAGTGAAAATTACAAAGGAATTAATTGCTTAATGCAGGCAGCAGTTCCTTCAGTGACGAGGACTTCCCAAAGGCCAAGGCTTTATGGGATTCCAAATCACCACGCAAATTCATGGCAGCAAAAGTATAGCCCTGTGTTCAGTGCTTGGGTCATATTCATCTTTTTCTTTGACTTGGACAAAATTACCTTCCTAGGACCATCTGCCCACTCTCCTTGGGCCAACCCTGAGACTGTTATTACTCGTTCCCAGAAATACTTATCTACTTCTCCTGTTCTCAAGGCAGCTGGTTCTCTGCACGGGAACTAGTGCTGCTTTTGTAACTCCAGGTATGTTTTTCCTTAAAGCAAAGAGTTCAAGGGAACAATTCAAGTCCCCATTTAATTTTAGAAAATCTGAGTTCCCTGGAGGACTGGAATGTTTGTACAGAGTACATAACTTTAAGCCATATTCTACTTTTAATCTATTTGGAACATAGGCAGTTGTAAAGCCCAATTAATTTGCATGTACATTGTGATGAGACATAACTTCAACACACATATTTATTCACACATGCACACTAAGTGGTTTTTAAAATCATTTCTTGACAGTAAGATTACATTGTATACTTGTAACCATAATTTGTTTAGGCATTGTTGAATCTCTAAATTTTGATATTATAAATTTATAGATAATGGATCATTGATCATCTTTGGACATATTGCTGTTTTTCTTGTGTCATTTCCTTAGGATAAACTCTCAGGAGTGGAATTACAGGGTCAAAGGGCATGAAATAGTAACTAAAATAAAATTCTCCCAATGGCCACTCTTTATCTGATCTTCATTCAAGGCTTTTTGTTGGTTTGTCCTTCAGTGTTACAACAGAATGGGACACAGGAAGAAATAAAATGTGTGGATCAAACAAAGGAAATGAAAACAACCAGTTGCAACCATGAAATGACATCATTTGAAATTAATCTGAAGGAAAAAAAGTAAGGAATATTTTTTAAGTTTAGATTTTGATTTCTAACTTTTAAATTTCAGTTTGTTTTAAAAGTTTACATAACTGTTCCCTTTTCAGTTTATGACTTTATAAAATATTTGAGTATTTAGCCCTTCTCAAATTCAGTTCCAGAAAGTCTTTTTTTCTGTGGATGAGTTTGTATACTTGGTCTTGTTAGAAAACCTAGGCTAGATAACTTGTTTTAGAAGAGCTGTCGTAAAGATTAGACCAAATCCATCGTTTGCTGCTTTTTACTCCTTCTAATTACTTTATTTATTTATTAAAAAAAAATTTTCTTTATTGCTTTTAGAGAGAGAAGAAGGGAAAGGGAGAGAGAGAGCAAAACATTGATTGGCCACCTCCCCCATGCCCCCCCAATGAAGATTTGGCCCACAACCTGGGCACGTGCCCTGACTGGGAATCGAACCAGAGACCTCTTGTTGCATGGGTCAACGTTCAACCAGTGAGCCACACTAGCCAGGCTAATTACTTTATTTTTTATTTTTTTTAATCATCCTCACCCGAGGACATTTTTCCATTTTTTGTTCAGGTAGAGTGGGAGGGAGAGAGAGGAACAGAGAGAGAGAGAGAAACATCGATGTGAAAGGGACACATCGAGTGGTTGCCACCCGCACAACCAACCAGGGCCGGGGACAAACTGCAACCGAGGCACATGCCCTTAGCGGGAACCGAACCCGGGTCTCTCCGGACCGCAAGCCGATGCTCTAACCGCTGAGCCAAACCGGCCAGGGCCAGGCTAATTACTTTAAATAATGACTGCAGCCCTGGCCAGTTTGGCTTAGCAGTTAGAGCATCGGCTGTGGACGGAAGAGTCGCAGGTTTGATTCTGGTCAAGGGTATGTACCTGGGTTGCGGTTCGGTCCCCGACCTCAGTTGGGGTCATGCAGGAGGCAGCCAGTCGATGTGTCTCTTGCATCGATATTTCTCTCTCTCTTTCCCTTCCCCTTCCTACTCTATCTGAAGATAAATGGAAAAGTGTCCTTGGGTGAGGATAAAATAAAATAATAATAATAAATAAATAAATACTGCAAAATAAGGATTTCAAGGTAAAACACAGCAAAGTTTTTTTCATTTTAAGCAACTTAAGTCATCTTGGTAATATATAGATTATGAATCTTAAATTCAATATTTGCCTCTTTGAAGAACAAATCAGGATGTCTTGTAACTATGTACGTGTTTGGTTGAAAGTGGTAATCATTAGTGAGCCAGTGAGTGGTTCATCTGTGAGTTTGGTACACTCACGTTAGTGTGTGGTGTGTTTGGTCTTATATGAAGGGGCATTCTAGGGACTCGGGCTTATTAGTGTCCATGTAGTAATAGTATAGACTTGAAAGTTTGTGAAAGAACATGAAAATCCTTGTTTTTATTTCTTCTATAGGGGCTTCTTGATTGTAGGTTTGAAATAATGAGGTTGACCACATTTAACTTCTTGAAAAATAGCCAAGGAGATTCATTTCTATTAAAAATTTTTTTTTATTTTTTATTGACTTTAGAGAGCGAAGAAGGGAGAGGGAGAGATAGAAACATCGATGAGAGAGAACATCAATTGGCCACCTCCTGCATGCCCCCCACTGGGGATTGGACCCACAACCTAGGCATATGCCCTGACCGAGAATCAAACTGGCGACCTCTTGGTGCATGGGTCAATGCTTAACCACTGAGCCACACCAGCCGGGTTTATTTCTATTTTTAAAATGTTAGGGTAATATAAATGATTACTACTAAAATTCTCTGTGTGTTGTAGATTTAGCTGGAAATTGTAGTTTTCTTGTTATCAGCAGTAGACTCGAAGTTACAGAGACTTGGAGTTTGGATCCTAGCACTGCTCATGCCTATATGACATTGAGCAAGTCATTTGACTTCCTTTTAGTATCTGATAAAAGGTTATACATATACAGTGCTTAGTATGTGCTCGGCAGTGTCCAAGCCTTTTACTGTACTAACTCATTTAATCCTTGGAATGACTATAAGGTAGGCACTGTTGTTACCCTTATTACCATTACAGAAGAGAGAACAAAGAGGGAGGTTAAGTGACTTGCCCAAGTGAGTTCTGAGCCAGGAAGCAAACCCAGGCATCATCGCTTCAGAGCCCTCCCTATTAACCCACTTAGTGGTCTTCATCAGTAAAATGACAACAAAAATGCCTATTTCCATGGGTGGTGGATAAGATTCAATGGGACAGTGTATGTGAATGTGCTTTGTAAACTGTAAAAAGCTATGCAAGGAAAAGGTCAGACCATGTCTTCTGATACTAGTTCTAGTGGCAAATAGGAGGAATGTGCCTTTGTAATGTGACCCACAGTGCTCAGGCTGAGACAGTGATCACAGGACTCTGTGCTGCTTCTTTGTAAGCTTCAGACTAGGAGGTTATATCCAGCCGAGAAGGACTGCTGAGTCTCCTGGCTCACTGTGCTCTGTTAAGTTGCCACATTGCCATCTTAAGCAGGTGCCCAGCAGCACATTTGCCAGTGTTATTAGATTAACTATATTGGTTATGCACCAGCAGAATAGATAAGCCTAGGTTGTGGAGTTCTTGTATTCCTTGCTTTCTGGAAATGTCATTCTAACTTCCTTTCTCAGGTACCGGGAGGACTTTGACCCATTGGTGAAAGGGTGTTCCTGTTACTGCTGTAAGAATCACACTCGTGCGTACATCCACCATCTGCTGGTGACCAATGAACTGTTGGCCGGGGTCCTGCTAATGATACACAACTTTGAACACTACTTTGGATTTTTCCACTCTATCCGGGAAGCACTAAAAAGTGACAGACTGGCACAGCTGAAAGAACTCATCCGCAGGCAAGCATCTTGAGACCTGGCGTACAGAAGCCTAACTTCGCAGTGAGCCAGTACCACTGTTGTAATGTGGGAAGAAGAGACCAAGAAATGATTTAGCTTTCATCATTTATATTTGAGAGTAAGGTCTGCTCAGACAAGGAACGTCTGTACCCAATTCTGCCCACATGAGGCTAAAGAGATTTTCTTCTAAAGACTTAAGTGACCTGGATTGATTAGAAAGACATGAACCATGAACTTTAATATTTCTGTGCTAACTCTTTTAGTCAATAGAGATTTGTTTAGTCAAAGACAAAAGCTTTAGCTGTGAAGAGACAGCCTTGAAGTGGCAGTGAAGAGATTCTGAGGGTTCACTGAGATGGATTGGAGCTTAAAGGGAGTTGATTGGTCATGAGTAACATGACCTTGTGGACACATGTCTGTTGACTGGAATCTGCTTGATTGAAGAGTTTTCTTTAATTCCATGCCCTCTTTTGGATTCTTCTGCCTTCTAAGCTGCCCCAGCAGTCCAGTCAGTCAGAAATGGCTCTTGCGACTTAATTGGATGCGCCTCTCCATGGAATGTGGGGCTCACACATTGCTCCTATGACCACTTGCCCCTGGGCACACTCCTTCGTTTGGCTACATGGTCTGTTTGTGACTTGCCTCCCTAGAGCGAGCTGGAAGTTTACCTAGCTGCATCTGGTTGTACAGGTCCACTATAGTGTGCCCTTCGGGTTCATTAATAGTCTTACCACACAATAACTGTAGCACCATCACTTGGGGAGATTCCTTCACTATGTGTTCACTTAGACAGAGCTTTGGACTGGCAATTAGAGGATTGGGTTTCAGTGCTACTCACTTCTTCATGCCTGTTTCTTCCTGAATAAATGGGGGTAGGCATCGTGGATAGGATTAAATGAACTTCTAATATTCCACCTGGCTCTGATATTTGGGGGACACAAAGTTGTAGGTCAGAGTCATAGCCTTACTTGTCTTGTTTACTCTCACTATTGGCCTGATGAGAAAGCAGCTGTTCCAGGAGTTAGGCAATAGTGGACATTTGAGAGCCTGAAAAGAGGCTTGGCCTGTGGATTTTGAGGTGGTTGGCGAATCGGCATTAGCAGGTCCTGAGGCTGGAAAGACCTTCCCAAATCATCTCTGATTCTGTGAGTTTTTCTGCTCTTGCCAAAGGAGTGACATTCATGTTGATGGTGTGACAGGTGACTTTGTGCGTATGTGTATGTGCTCTTCTGTATTTATGAAGTTTTCTGTAAGAATATACATGCACAACCCTGACCAGTGTGGCTCGGTTGGTTGGGCATTATCCAGTGCCCTGAAAGGCTGCTAGTTGGATCCCCAGTCAGGGCACATGCCCAGGTTGTGGGCTCTATCCCTGGTGGGGGGCATGCAGGAGGCAGCCAATCAATGTTTTGCTCTCACACATCAGTGTTTCTCTCTTTCTCTCCCTCTCCCTTCCTTTCTGTAAAAATCAATTTTAACAAATCTTAAAAAAAAGAATATACATACATAGACAACAATAGAACCAAAAAGATGCCTTTGTTTTGTTTGTGGGAGTGTGAAATATATTTGTTTTACGTTGTGCTATATTTTGCTGTTTGTTCATTTTAGTGGGTGTTATTAAACACTTAAAAATTGTTATGTGGTTACTAAATTTGTATATGTTGGATGCTCAGCTATATGGTTTTCTTTTAGTAGTGGTATAGGCATGTCCATGAATTCTGTTTCGGAATTCATGGACATTCCCATAACCTCTCCTACATGAATGGCAAGGGTAATTGTGAAAGACAGAATCTCTGTTCTCAAGGATCTGATTGTTTTGAAATATATTGGATTTGACTTCCTCATATGTTTATATTCCTGTTCAATGCCAAGTCCATTGTGGGAGTATTAATAATTAATAATATCCCAGAATTTGTATAAAATGTGAGTTTTATTTATGTTCAAAACACTGAAAGTTCTGTCCAATATCATCCATTTTTCTGGATCTTTTTCTTATTAACATATTTGGAAAAAAAGTTTCTTTAATGTAAATCTATTAAAGACAATAGCCAATAAATATTTTTAATTAAAAAAATAGACTGGCTTGTTTCTTGTAAATAGCAGTGAATCTATACAAAATATTAAATTTCCATGGTACCAGAAATGTTCTCTAATAGAAAAAGATTTTCCACATTTATTCTATATGTAGTCATTGTTTTAAGTGCACTCACACAAAATGCAGAACCCAGGGAGAGTCAGGGATGCACCTGTCTCTTTAAATTATGTAATTAGGGACATTAAGGCTATGCTTAGCACATCATAAAAATAATAATAACCACAATCTTTGGAGCATTTTTAATGTGCCAGGCACCTCAGTTAATGCTTTCCATATATATCTCATTGATCCTTAGAGCAAGGCTGTGAGGTGTTGATTTTATTCCTGTTACTGAGTTTCAGGAAGGTTGAGTAACCTGCCTGAGGGCCTACCAGGAATTTGTGGACTGTTGAGTAGTTTGCCTAAGGGTCTCTCTACCACTAGTTAGCTCCCAGGTTAGACTTTGGCTCCATCTGACTAAAACTCAACAGTTAACCATTGCACTGAATAAATAGCTTCTTGTGACTTGTTCCTGGGTTGAAGGGACTAAGAGAAGCAAGGACTGAATAGAGGGGCCTTCTGACCTTGGAGTATAGGGTACTTCTGGAGCTTTGCTGTATGTAGTTTGGTCCTTGCTCCCACTCTAACAGGGAGCAGCTGGCACTGCTATGTGTAGCCCACAGCACCCCGCTATCACCTGTAGGTCTCAGTGCTTAATGCGAATTGCCATTCCATATCCCCAAGTCCTCACCCTGTTTGGGGAATACTCCCACCTCAAATGGTGTTCAAAGGGTTTGGGTTTGTGGGAGTTGCATGTGGGCTCTTGGACAAGAAATGGGAATCTGAGGTTTCCTACGTGCTTGGGGGAGGGATACTGTATTATTCTTTGGGAATAAAGGGAAAGATTCTTCTAAAACATTTTAAAATCAAATACTACTGTAATTAAAGAATTTTAATAAATACTTCAAACAAAGGCTATCCAAAGGTCAAGAATAGAGGGTGTGAGCAACTCATCCAGGATGTTTTTCCTGTTGCAGCTTGGAGCTCACTGAGAAACTACAGAGTTAAATGATTATTTTATGCCTTCCTGATTAGAAACAGGCTGCTCTCTGCAGTTTGATTAGTCTTGCTCGTAGCTACGGGATTACAGCTGATTAAAACTGACAGTGCTGTGTAGGGCAGGGAGCCAGGAAGGTCAAACTTACATGCTGAGCCAGCCACCAGCAAGGCTCTACTGTTACCTGAAGGTTTGGTGTAATTGGCATTCATTTCAAAATTCTTTTTCTTTCTTTCTTTTTTAAGTTTACAGGTCTCTTTCTCATTTTACACCTTTTTTCTTCCTTGTCCCCATAAGAGTCCCTGACTTATGACCACATAACTCAAATAACAGTGAGCAGAGAAGAGCAAGCCCAGTGTAAGCTGTGTGGAGTCGGCTCACCGTACGACCTCACTGCCCACAACAATCCTGATCTATGTCTGTGGTCCAGGCAAAGTTACTAACAGCACTTTACTGTCAGTACCCTAGTTTGGACAAGTTATATGGCCACCCTAGTAAGTGGTAGAGACGGCCAAACCGAAGAGAGCACAGGTGTCTGTCCAAATCGGACAGCTGCTACCCACTGGCTCACTTTCGCTGCAGGTCCAGTGCTGTCAGATCTTCCAGTCTCGCAGAGAAGCCAAATCTGGGTCTTCAGGTGAAATCTCACCAGTTTTAAGCGCTGGATCAATTTTTAAAAAATATTCTGCTAGCCAAACAAAACCTAAGTGTGCCTAGTTTCCAGCCTTTGGGTTAGAGTCTGGAGGGAAGGCGTTTTCAGCATTTTCAAATTCTCAGTGACTCATAAAATACACAAAAAAGGCACCTCGAGTTTCTAGCTCCTGCAGCTGATTAGAGTCCCACATGAAGACTCATATTCTCTCAACTTCATGGCAGAATCCCCACACAACTCCCAGAACCATCCTAAAATGCCCGAAGGGAAGGGAGGCATCATCTGTTTCATGGACGAGCACTGTCAGGCCTGGAGAAGAAAGGCTAGCAGTTGCTGTGTCCTTCCTCTTGAGTCTAAACAGACACGTATTTCTTTCCAGTTACCACTTCTGCTGTCCTACATCTTCCCCCATTTCTGCTAGTTGCTGCCCTTCCAGGGTCAGCACTGATTTCCCAACACTCGCTTTCCAGTGATCCTTTCTGACTCACAAAACCAGACATAAGTGCTCCCGGTGCACCTTCCAGCATTAATGACAATAGTCCTCGCTGACACAGTGAGAGCTCAATTATGTTTGTCAAGTGAATGAGAATTCTCCGAGCAGTCGAGACATTAGCTGCAGATTTTAGCCTGCTGAGCGCCGGTTAGAAGTGAGTCGCACAGCAGTATGTGGTGGGACCTAGGCTGAATGTCTTGTCAGTGGTGGTTTCATTTCCTTTATGCTAGGCTAGCCCCCAGTGACCTGACATTTTATTTCTTCTTTGACTGGGTTCTGCTTTCTACCATTAGCATCTTCTGGTGCTGGCCTCAAAGCAATTTCCCCTGCTCTGACTAGAGGAACTCAGAGTGAATTTTCCTTTTGTTCTCATTCCTCACAATCCACTTTGAGACCGGGCTGAAGTTGCCAAGGAGTTCAAACGGCCCGTCCTTCCGCCGGTATGATTCAGAGGGATTAGCACGGCCGCTCCGCGCTCTTTCCCTGATGTTCGCCTCTTTCCCCGAACTGCTGTCCCCTGCTGTCTGCTCCTTTGTCTGAGAAACACATTTTCTCTTATTATCACCTTGTTCCCTGCCTGTTTCAGATGCCTTCAGCTCGCCTCTTAACAAAATCAAGATGTTGCTATTAATGTTCATCAATTTCTTTAGCAGCTTAGAGTCACCTTCTTTTATTGAATCTTTCCCCCCTTCCCTCTCAAACCACATAATCATCTCTGCTTCAAGGAAAAGTTTCCCAACCATTTTATAACGACTTCTTTATAGTTGCTATCAATAAGGCACACGTGGGAGGAGATAAAAAGGGAGAGAAATTAAAAGGTGAACAAGTGAGGGGTACTCCAATAATTGAAACAGCAAGCATCTTCAGGACTCTTCTTTTATGAAGAAATTAGGTAAGATTAGCCCTCAAGACTGGATGTTATGAGCCCAGTAGTCTAGTGAAGTTTTCCTCCAATTTTTATGGATGGAAAGGGAAGGTGGTCTCCCTTCAGATGTTAAGCTCTCCCCTCTGAGAGAGACTGTCTTCCAAATTGTTAAAATAGTGCTTAGAACCATCCCAGTATCATTTATGTCGGTCATAAATCCTTCTATATAATACAATTACATAATAGATATGAGTTTTTCAAACCACACCTCCAGAAAGCTAAAATATTTATCCATATTTTCCAGCATTTTCCATTTCCTATTCTTTTTGTTTAACAATCTTATATAACATTTCCATCACAATTTCATTTATTATTCCCCATAATGCCAGCTGAAGAAAACACAGACTATGCAAATATTCTCAGTTCCCCACATAGTAATTCCACATCAAAAGAGAAAAGAAGAGAATAACAGAGTATGTTCCATTTTTTCTGTATCTGATTTTCGTTAAACTGTCGAATTGCATGCTGTTTGAGTATTTAAGTCGCTTCCAGTAATGTTGAAAAGGTCTGTTCGACTTTACTTTTCCATTTGAATATTCAGCTACTACCACAGATTCAACATGTCAAAAAACAAATTTATTGTCTATCTTTCATCAAGCTAGTTCTCCAACTTTCTTGCCTCCGTCCATGACAACAGTCGTCCTGTCAATCCAGCTGGAAAACTTATTCCTTGGGTACATGAAATAATTTATAGAGGCGATGGGGATAAGACATTTCAAGGGAGAGATCAATAAGATTCGACTGATTGGCTCAGAGGAAGCAGTTAGGTGCGATTCAAGCAAGATGACCACCCAACCTACCCTATTCCCTTCTTGTCCTTTCCCGCTTCTCTCTTCCTTCTTTAGTTTTACTGCTACGAGGCTAAGCTGTCATAAATACTGTCTTCATTGGGATACTCCCTGACAGAAAACCTTTAGTGGCTCCCCAGTGCCATCCAGAGCAAGGCTCAACTGGTGATACATTTTTAGACCTGTTCTAATCTGACCCTACCCAATAGCTATGAGCTTTCCCACTT